GCAGCTGACGGCCATAGACGAATGGCTGTTGTTGTGTGGGGGACTGCTGCTGATGCCGCAGTTGGTGGGCGAGGAGCTGTGCAGACTCAGGCTGGGACTGGGGTGGCTGGTACCCTCCGCCACCGTTGGACTGTGCACCACGGTGCTGTTGCTGTGCCCGCTGGAGCTGCTGGTACTGTTGCAGGCGGCAGCCGAGTGCTCCGAAATGTCTTCGTCATCCGTCGTCGCTGTTGCTGGAGTCTGGGACGCGGACCAGGAGTCGCTGAACACCAAGTTGGCATTTTCTCCAGGGGCAGGGTCTGAGCCCACAGCGCCGACACCCTTTCCATTCATATTGAAGTCGGAGAAGGACAGACGCACTGTGGTGGGTAGACAGTGGTCCACCACATCGGCCCCAGCCATGTCTTCCGACCCTCCCACGATGGGGGACAGCAGCTTGTTGGCAGTCTCTATCTCGCGGATGTGACGCAAGTACTGGTAGCCGCTGCTCTGTGCCACAGCTTTCTTCTTGGCCACTCCTGTGCCGACACTTGCTATGCTGATTCCGACGCCGAGCAGGCCACCGTTGTGGTTCTGTTTTGTTTCGGCAGAAGGCGCGTTGACTCCGTTGGAGGCGATTGGCGTGTTGCCGCTGGCCGCCGCACTGTTCTTCTTCCCTTTAAATGCAGATATGACGGAATTCATTTTGAAGGATGGAGAGGTGCGTGAGGAGGAGAGCGAGAGTGGCTCCCACTTGGATTGTTTCTGAGTTTCCGGTGTGAGGTTTACTGTGTGGCTCCCTCTGACACAATCATCGAATTGCTTTCGTTTTCAATTGCACGCGAATGCTTTCTCGAATCAAGTGCTGTGTTTTGGCTCATGTTGATGGACTCTTATCATCTTTCTGCTCTGGTGGGGGTCTTAGTCAGTGACATGTAACGCATGGCCCTCATATATGCCATAGTGTCACTTCTTGATATTGTTTTGGTTCTTCTGAAGACACTGGCTGAAAAGATACAAACAGAAATTGGGTGTCACTCAGGAGTTTTCCTATACATCGCAATGGGCTACAAAGTTTTCGTTTAATGCTGAAGTTCTTTAACATTGCTTTGTTCATGGGGTATGTTTAATGGTTATAAATATCTATGACATATCTAAGAAGGATTCCAAGGACAAAAGTAGAAACTGCTGGCCAAAGTCCAATTCGCTAAATGAGCAAAATGTGGTGGCAACCTTGGACCATGCCACTTGCCCCATTCATCTAGTGAGCTATGGTAAGTAGTTTTATCCCACAGACCCACTCGCTGTGCCCCGTGCGTCATTCGATTAAGAAGTGGCCAAATGTTAAAGAAGAAATTCCTCTCTGGACCCAAGCAGCCGCCTCTTTCCCTTCCCCTCTTCCGTATTCAACGTGCGGAGGTGCGCAAGCGGATAGCACACACACACACACACACACACACACACACACACACACACACACACACACACAGACATCGTCTGCTGTAATAATTAATATTTTATAACTTTCGGGCGATGAGCGGAACAAAAAGGCATTCCTTTGGGTTTGCAAGTCCAAGTACTGTAGATACAAATGACAAATTTGAAAGCATCATTTTTCCGAGACAGCAAGATGAAGCTAGAAACTGTTTAGGTACAATTTGTGGCTGCATTTATACGCTTTTCAGTACAGCATGTTCATTACCACCAGATGTAAGAAACTTTAGTTTTGTGCAAAAATGAAGCACCAGTCAGTTTGGTGGCTGATCCATAGAAATCTTCGAGCAGCGAGCAGCGAGCAGCTCCCCTCTATTGCTACTGATTGTGTTTGTTTTGTTGTTTAATTGCACAATCTGAAAAAAGTCGTCGGCCTTGACGCTTTTTGGCCACGCTCCACTGTACTGTCACAAAGTGAGCCACAATTTTGCTGGTGCAATCTCCTCTCGGAGTACGGCGGACACCGGACAACCTGTGCATGCGGTTGGAGTCACTCTCTTGGAACATGGACAGGGGTTTCCTTGTTTTGTACACTGCACACTGATCGGAATGAGCTGTTATGTATCGTAGCGAATTGCTGGAAGCCGCTGCTTTTTTCTACTACATTCCACATTAAGTTCGACCAACTTGAGTCAAATAAAAGTCAAGAGTTCAATGGCAATTAGCATCAAATATGAGCAAGAGGAGTACGTAAGAAGCGACAGTTCGACGGTGAAAAGATTTCGATTATACTGCACATTCCTCATCTGCTGTGTGGCAGACATATGGAAAGCACTCTGCTCTCCCACACTCCACCTCGGATCCCTGAATTCTTTAGATCCACAAGGCAGCTCAATTTGTACATATTTCGCTGGAGACACGCCCATGTGGAAAGCCAGACATGTAGCACGTCAGTCATGAGCCAGCAATCAATCAAAGCTCAGCCATGCATCCATCTCCCTGCATCGCTGCTTCAGCGCAGCTACGGAAACCAACGATTTTTCTGACTGTCGAACATGGGACGGGAACGAAAGGAAAGCGCCTGTGAGTGTTGCTTGGGGAATTAGAGAATCGCATACGAATTGAAGCAACCGCAACAGTATATCGCATTTCGATTCTATATTCGATTTCGGCGTTATGGAGGTGGATTTGAATAGTAAAGTAAGTCAGATTAGCCTGAGCCAAGCGTAATACCAGTCCTAGATAGGCTCAAACAAAATGGGGAATCCATTTGATAAACACACCGAGCTCACACAGTGCATGTCAGAGAACTTTGAGCAGAGAGGATAAATGCGATGGCTCGCTCGGTCGCTTCGTTTCATTAACTGCAAATTGAAAATGTTCAATTTCTGCAGCTGCAGCTGCTGCCACAGAAACAACAGAGAGCTCACACAGCACTGCATCTCACAACAGATCGTTAAAGTTGTCGGTTTGTGGCATTCTCAGCATTCTTCTGCTGCAGTGGCATGAACCAGAGCTCCCACTCCCTACCCACACTGAATGGAGAGCGAATAAAATGGACTCGAAAATTATTCGAGCCGGAAATTTTTGTAATTTCATGCCCCATGTCATCTTTCCTCCTCCACACTAAAGATGCAATTATTATTTCATGTTCCAAATAGCTTGACTGCCGTTTCAGAGCTAAAGTTGGGTTATTTTTTGCATACATTTTGCATACATAAACCCCGAATCTGGACTTTAAACGTATCCAGTCACACCACACATGGGCGGCAGAGACATACAGATACAATGCCAGTTAGATGAAGGTATTCGTATATATAATACTACTACTACTACATACATTTGCTGAAACTGGCTACGTTCAAGACATAAACACACTCGTAACATGCACGCCCATTTATCAAGGTCATTCCAATCAGATCAGATCCGACCATTCTCAGATGTTCATAGATATTTGCAGGTTCGAGTGTTTTAGTATGCTCGACTAGATGTCAACTGACTTTCAAAAATTAAACGAAATGGAGTAGAACAAAACTGAGTCCGCATCCAACCAAGATCAAATTAATCGGTTTCGAACGAATCGTGTGGTCAAGGGCGACCAGCACGTTCAATGGAGTGGCTCGAATGGAGCCTTAGATCTCCAGCTCTGTCGCCACTCTACTGCTCAGTTCTGCAGGAGACTGCAATCTGGTTATAGCTGAATATAAAATTACTTTTGGGCCAGAGTTTTTGCGAGACCAGCGCGTTCCGTAGACAGGTTCAAGCCCGTTCATTTGCGCACAAGTTCACCTTGTAGCAGCTAGCCAGAGTTCGATTGGCCAACAAAATTTGTTCTCCACTCCGCTGGTGATATCTGACAATATTTGAAACCTCTTTAATCTGAAGACCTTTTCTTGTATCTTGCTGTATTCGAGATGCGATTCCTTTCCCACGAATCTTGATTGCCGCTTGAGGCAACTCCACTATCAAGAGAGTCCCAAATCCATAATGATCGGAGCAATTGTCGCACAGACTAATTTCCGTTGCATTGGAAAGCCGAAGAAGAAGGCAGAGAGTGCAGAGTGTAAGAAGAAAAGCCTAATGGCCGTCTTGCATCTCTTGAGTGAAGGGAAAGTTTGGTTACACAACTAACTGGAGGGTAAACGGGGTGTAGGTTCGTTCCACTCGAAGCCACACCGATTCCTCGAGCAAATATTTATCTTCCATCAATATTTTGGAAACATTTTTAATCCCAAACGAACGATTAAAGTTACGAAAGTGTTGGCTTTTCCCAGGCAGCGGCCAGCGGATTATTAATGAAATTTATACTTAACGATCACGAAAGTTCTGCGCGATTATGGAAAGTGGTTGCCCAGGCGGCAACATACATAAATACTCATTACAGTGCATACAACACAACAGCTTAATGGTTGCGTATCAAAGAAAATCTTTGGCAGCGGCTTTGGCATCTCGCTGGCTCGATTGGGAGGGAAGCGTGACTGCCACCAGCGTGGATAATGCTTAATTGTCCGTACGAAATAGTGCACCCACATTAAAGTAAAGTAAAGAAAGTATAAATTCCACCATTCCACCTCTCGCACTGTCAGCTGCGTCTGCTGCTAAAGAACTGAATTAGCTCCGATATGCCCTGCCTCCGAGCTGTGCCTTGCTCAAACGAATGCACCCCGATCTCTAGGGTATATTTATTGCTCGAGTAGTATGCTTGGAAGTAAACATGATATGCGCCTCAGAGTGCACAACACACACAGCACTGTGGCTGGACTTTGACCAGTCGGATGCACCGTGGAGAGTCGCCTTATCAGTCGCCAGTCGCCAGTCGCCAGTCGCCACCGCCTGCAGATCTCATTCATATAAAAGTAAATAAGTAAGAGGGAGAGAGCGGAATGCCTCCCCTCAAAATAGATGGATGATGAATTTTAAAGCGTTCTGTGGAGATAACGAGCCCGTATATGTACGTGCGAAGGTTCGTCCCATCTGTGCGCACAGAGATTCAAGCTGCGTCGCTGTATTTATACATACACAATATATTATACATGCAATCGAACATATTACCTATCGAGCGAGACTGTATCTGATCAGCCACGAGTCATTTGCCTTTGTTATACGTTTAACAGTCAAACAAATCCGAATACACAATATACACAAATTATAATACGCTTTGGACAGTACTGGAAATGAAAGTGATCAGGGCCAGGGACATTGTAGACGAGCCGAGCTTGGTGGCCCCGCATCCGTATATAAACTTTTTGCGCTTCTTGAAGCGCAAGAATCCTCGCTACGGACTGCTGCGACTCCTGCAGGAGGCGCCCACACTCTGGGATGCGCTGACAGTTGCCAAGCAGAGGCTGTTTAAAAGAGATGTAAACGACCTTACTTAATTTTCATTATTCTCCCAGCATAGTTCACGATTCTCCGTTTTCCTAAAGCGCATCTTGAAACGCCTCACGCGTCGCCCCATTGCTCGTCGTCGTCGTCGTCGACGCCAGCGTCGGATATTGCGCCGTAATCGAGGCCTGCCCCGCAACGGGCATGCTCAGGTGCGACGCCCCATCTACAAGAGGCGCCCGCCGGCCAGGAGCAGAAGGCGCAAGAAGGTTCGGAATGGCTCTTAGCTTCTGGTTTGTGCACCTGTTGCAAGCTCGTTGCAGTCATCCGATGCACAAAACAAACCGAATAAGTCACTCTGCCCTGCGACAGTTTTCTCTTTCAGTTCCAGTTTCATTCGAAATCTAACGTGTTCTGCTTTGGTCGACTGACTGACCCACAAGAACTAATTAGCTATTAATATGAGCTTAAGGTTGCCTGAGGTCAAGCGTCGAGCAAATTAGCCTTACTTCAGTTTTCTGAGTCTCGTGACCCACGGAAATGGTTGCTTTTTTTCGGAACCAAAATTTGAAGGCGGTGCTTCTGTTGCTTTGATTATGCGAACGCTCTGATGTCACTTTCACTTTTTGCACTCTTTCTTTGAGCTGAAGAGGAGGGAAGGGCTGCTCAGAGGGACTGGAGGGGACCAAATCATTTCCGGTCGTTTCTTCCCATTTGTTGAATGAAACGATCGGAGTCGGGCAGAGCTTCTGACTTGACCACTCATGACTTGTTATATATTTAAAAAACAAAACAAAATGCAAACATACACATCACACATACAAAAATAGGCAAGTCTTTTTGCCTTTTAGCTTTGATTACGTCACCCTCTCAGAGCAACCATAAAAGGTCTGCTTTGGCGACCTACGACCCCCCTTTTGTCTCTTGGTCAATTTGTCGCGTTATCTCCGGATTTGAAATACAAATTTTGAACAATTCACCATCGCTCCTTGAATTCGAACAATGATGAGACTCTGATTGTCATACTGAGCAGGGAGAGCAGCCTTGATTCTGCGGAGTGCTCGAGATAGTCGGGAAGCGTGTGTTTATCGGAAAGAGTCTGCCATCCCAAGACAAGTGTCTTTTTGTCAATAAAATATTTATCAATTTTCATTTCCGCTCGGTCTTTATCAATGAGAACGCAAAACAGAGAGACACAAAAGGCAGAAATAGCGACACTTAATGGCTCAGCCTCAGCTCCAACTACTTGTTAGTCTCAGTATTCACGAGTCGTGTTTCTGATTCGACATCACCAACAACATACAAACGCTGGAAAACACAAGCCACGAACAACGTACGAACTGCGCTCGCCCGTGATCAGCGATCGTCGATCGCCAGTTCGCCAGTTCGCCAGATTCGGAAATGTTTCCCAAACTGGTTATCTTCCGCTGTCGCTGAAACTGGCCACAAGCAAATTCCCGTTTTGGATGTGGTGCATGTTCCACGGCTTTGCACTGCTCTGCTCTGGTGTTTGGTTAACTAAGTCGATTATTTGGCAAGCGGCTGCCGACACAACTTGCATGCGGATGGCAGGTGGATGGTGAATTGGCAGGGACCGAGACGACTGCAGTGCTTATGTCATACACACATATGGTATAAACATATTTATATTGCGACCACTCGAAAGAGTAATTACAATTTAATTGCCCCCTCACTGCTCACTGCTCTGGTTACAGGTTACATCGGCTAACACTCTTGCACACACTACTTTTGAGCGAGAAGTTATTTAACTTGATATAGTTAAGAACCGCCTTTTACGTACACATGTATGTATGTACTATGTACAGGCAGAGAAAAATAATCATTTCTAGCGATCTCAAGCAATACTCCTAAATTGTATTTTATAAAAAAACTCAGAATTGTATACATTCGTATACTGTATACTGTGTACATTCGTATACTGTATACTGTGTACATTCGATTTTGTATCAATTACTTCCTACACTCTCAAACAAAATTATGAAACCTACGAAAAAAATGGTTAAAGAAGAAAACTTTGAAAACTACATACGACAAACAAGAGGCTGTTTCTACCGTTTCTTCCATGACTGTATGTACCGCTGCTGTACCGAGACGAAGTGAAAACGAACGCTGAAGCTGAGAAAATAAACGAGTTGAAGTCAGGTCCAGCTGAGCTTATGCTTGTCTCACGGCATATCTTGGGGCAGAACATTGGGTTGCACAGTGCAACTGCTTTTGCTTCGCCCTTTGTTTTCGGATGCGAGTTTCTCTGGCTTGCTTGCACATTAATAATGGCACTCGGGCTCAGAAACATACTCGCATTTGTTTTGCTCGCTGTTCTTTAAAGGATGCATTGAAATCTCTCGTCTTAGATGCAACTTTAATTACTGATTATACGATTTAATTTGTAAGCACTTATCTCAATGAAAAACACGAAATCAGGTCGCTCCCAGTCAATGAACTGATAAAAGAAAACTCGAATGAAGAGAAAACCCGTACATATGTATGTACATACACACATACATACATGCATATGTATGTACATTATATTTATATAAATATAAATGAAACTCATCGCAAGCACATGAGGACGCCGGACAATGTCTAAATGCCATACTTCCGTGTTCTCCTCCCCGTGACCCACAAGATAAAACATGATAGGGCGCAGCGCAGAAGCAATGAATGGAATTTAAGATGTTAAGCGGTGATTCATTCCACTATCAGACAGCAGGAATACTCTTCGTTTGGGTCGTCTTGGTTGGTGATAAACTTACCTTATTATTTTACACAGTTGATTATGCAGATGGGTGCAGTTCGATGAGGGGGTAATCCACTTTGCGGCAATCTATCAATTAGTGCAGATAAGCACAGTTACCACTTTCACTTGTAGCTTTTCACATTGGAAATCACAAACAACGGAGAGCACACATTCCTCCCGTTATGCTTCACACACGGTCACAGACACTGTTACGGATACAGATGGCAGAGGCAGGTGGAAACGAGAAGGCGCCACTGTGACACCTTTGTTGTCTACTCTTCTCGGTTTTCTGCGAAGCCAGGTATGCTCAGCAGCTCAGTAAACAATTTAATATTGTAGTTGCACAAGCCACCACAGCTACAACTACAACTACAATCACAGCAACACGGACGCGACTTGCAAAATCTTGTTTCGGTATTGATGCATGAGTGTGAGTGCTTTGTGGGTGTATTGGTTTGTGTGTGCGAGCGACAACGAAGAAAAATTAAGCAAAAAAATCACAATTTGGACACTTTTTTAATATTTGATTAGCTTATTGCTGCATTAAACACACTTTTTTGATCTCAGAACCTATACACATGAGTAGTTTGTGTATACATATGTATTTTAGCTGAAGCGCTTTTGACAGAAACACACACACGCGCGGAACGAACAAAAAGAGACGCGCCCAAAACAGTGTGTGTATACAAGGGAATACAATCGTCGCGATTCTCTTATATATTTTTATTTCACGTGCACGTTACTTCCTGCGGGCAATAGCCAGTACGCGGGCCACCACAATTTGTATTTTTACTTTCTTGCTTTCCCTTATTTCCCGAACAACGAACATTAATTAAGCAGTGCACACAACCACAAACAATTTTCGGAAACTGGCCACACTACCGCACGACCACAAACTGTCCGATTTTCCCATAAAATGGTCACACGGAATAGTATTTTCCCCAAGTGGATTTTCTCCTTTTTGCGTGAGCAGTGTGATATTTCTCTTAATTTTATCAGCTATCTGATGCATGAGTGCATGTTATTTTACATGATGGAAAAATCTATTTCTATTTAGATTAGTTAGTTAGTTCTATTTGAATGAATATGTGGAAACTGGCAAAATCTTGGTATTTTGTAGTATTTTGGCTGTCATAAATACATGATTATATCGATATTTTCTTTCCGAGACTGCGAAAAAATGTTCGTTTCAGCTATGAGCCCTAAATAAGCACAGAAATATACCAAAATCTGCCTACTGGCAATTAGAAATTCACTACACTACGCTACACTGCTGTGCTAAAAAAGTAAATCTGCATGAAGAGAACTCCTTGCTAGAGGATATCATATCCCGCCACGAAAAAAGGAGCTATGTCCCTGCGAGATTTACCGATATACCTTCTCATTTTCAAGGTGTGTATATCGTAAATATACCGTTATACATTCAAATTACACATCTACAAACTAGAAGATAATTAAATTATTTACTTGTATGAAGCCACATCTTCTGTCGTGTGTCCTCTCTCCATGCAATGACAATTAAGCTAACTCCATGTAGAGCTCTACTTTCAAGCTCTAAGACGTACTACTAGAAAATGCTTGGATAACTTACAACAAGGCCGACAGACATTCATTGCATCTGCATCTGCATCTGCATCTAGCGAATGGATGGCATAAATTGAATAATGCGTTTTTAAGTGACGCTTAGACGCATTCTTCAGTAAATTGTGCAATTGTCTGGGCAGCTCAAATTAGAAAACACAAACGAGAAGGAGCTCTTCGGCACGCACATGCAGATAAGATCTTGAGGCGAGGCGTAGATTAGGCCCACGATGCCTGGGCCTTGCGTGAGTTCAACAATCTGTAAATTGGTCGCCACAGAGAGACGTCAAGTAGAGTAAGAGGGCATCTTTCTGAGCTGCTTGCCGCTGCAATTGGAACCTCCCCTTCAATCCATTGATTGTCCGCCTCATTCATTTGATTGAATTGACTTTTCTCTAATGCCATCGTCGCTACCAGATGTCTGTCTGTCTGTCAACAAGAGCCCTTCAATTCGTAACGCCAGCACCCCTATCCACCCCAATTGAAGATACCTCTCACCGTTGAAGGGCAATGGCTTGAGAATGTCGTGCCCCGAGAACCGAATTGATAAAAATTGTGTGGTTTGGATTATGGAATTGCAAAAGTACTTCAACTGTTCTGGTTACATCAGAGTCAGCGGTGGAGACCGACCAATGTCCGCTGGCTGCAATTTAATGTAACTCAAGCCAAATTCAGGGCGTGGTTATGAACACGCGAACTACCACAGCTCCTGGTTTGGGCTAGCAAATCGTAAAATTTAAAACAGAAAGATTGGGCCTATTTATAGCACCTAATTATCTGATGCACCACACTCATTCCTGTGCCACATTCCGATGGTGCATCAGCGCAAAAGACGACGGAATGGACTTTGGACCAGTCGGAAAGTGGCCCAGGGGGAATCCCACGGTCCGTGAATGGGGACCATATGTCAAAGCGATGTCAGGCTATTTTCGGAAATGTGAGTGCCACATCTGGCCATTCCAGCCCCTATCCCAGCAAAAGCATCTGGATAGCCACCCGAACCGCACTTAAAATATGTCGCACTGCATATATGTATGAACACATTTCATAGTGTACTTTTATCAGAAGGTTTTGAAACAAAAAGAGAGGCGAGCGAATGGCCTGTTATTGAAAAAATGTTCTAAGTTCGTTATCCCGATAGTGGGGATTAGCTAGTATCTTCCCTTCAGGCAGCAACGTTGAGGATCTCTGTGGCGTCAAAAAAAAACAAAAGGGGGACTAAGAGCGTGTTTACGCTCTTAGATTGGCTGGCTGGATTCTAATTTTGAAATTTTTAATTATTTCCCCATGTGCGTGACTCAGTTGCCTTAGTCGTGGCGGTTGTCTCACTCAGCAGCACAGTTTTAGGATCTGCCTCTCTGGAGAGAGCTGCATTTGAAAATGAATAGCTATAGTTTTTGGGAGTGCGTACGCAGAAGTGTGAGGGTCACGGGGTGCAGCGTGTTTACTTAGTTCATGCCGAACAGGATGTGCGTGTCATCGGACAAGGGGTGCGCCTGAGCCTAAGCGCTGCTTCCCCGAAACGTAGGCCTGCACGTGTCGAACACACCCCGTAATACACTCCTGCGGCACGCACTTATGTATACTTGGGTATACGTACATACATACACACATACATAATACATACATACATATGTACATAGGTCAGGCTCAATGTGCCAAGGTCTTTTTGGGTCATGTTGAAGTAAGGACAGCCAGATATGTACATGGGTTGGTTGCTCCTATTTATCCAGAATATTGAATATATAGAGCTTCTACAGATTTTTACAGATTTTACAGACTAAATTCATATAATAACTTATTAATTGCTTTTCTTTTCAAAAATTTCCAACTGAAGCCTTCAAAGTATACCAAATCTCTTGAATGAATTAAACGAATGAATGAATTTTAAAATAATGTTTATTAAATGTTTACATAAACTGTATACACAATCTGTATAGTCTTAATATATGTATAATACATTTAATAATTGTAGGTAATATAAAAATCGAGGAATATGATTTGTTATTTTTGCAGTGTATTTTTAAAATGAGAAGGTATATCTATTTTGGTATATTTTTGTGGGTTTTGCGGTATACTTGATTGATAATCCCGCGGTCACACTGGTCCACTGGTTGCACGTGTAAACGCAAAATGGTAAGGAAACTATTTGTAAATGCAAATTGCGCGATTTTGAATTATTATCTTACAACAGGGTAAAAAACAAAGTGATGAGATACCAGGATTTCCTTCGTTGGACACCGAGGCGAGTGGGGGCAGCCGTGGCGACGACATCCTCAAGAGCAAACCCAAATCAAAGAAAAGCGGCGGCTTTCAATCAATGGGTCTGGGCTTTGAGTTAATCAAAGGAATCACAAAACGCGGGTATAAAGTGCCTACGCCTATTCAAAGGAAGACCATACCACTCATCTTGGAGGGGCGAGATGTTGTCGCCATGGCCAAAACTGGATCTGGCAAAACGGCGTGTTTCTTGATCCCTCTGTTTGAGAAGCTGCAGCGTCGCGATCCCACAAAGGGCGCCCGTGCATTGATATTATCGCCTACTCGGGAGTTGGCAGTGCAAACGTACAAGTTTATCAAGGAACTGGGTCGTTTTATGGAGCTGAAGACCATTTTGGTATTGGGTGGCGACTCCATGGACTCGCAGTTTTCGGCCATCCACACATGTCCGGATGTTATTGTCGCCACCCCTGGCCGCTTCCTTCATCTGTGTGTTGAAATGGACTTGAAGTTGAACTCCATAGGTCAGTATTCCATCAAATTGTGCCCTTCCCATGTACGTATGCCTAACCTAAACGAACGCCCCACATTTTTATGCAGATTATGTTGTGATGGATGAAGCTGATCGCCTTTTTGAAATGGGTTTCGGTGAGCAGTTGAATGAGACGCTGCATCGACTGCCTGCCACACGGCAAATGGTTATGTTCTCCGCTACTTTGCCCAAACTATTGGTGGACTTTGCTCGCGCCGGACTGAATGATCCAGTCCTCATACGCTTGGATGTCGAGTCAAAGCTGCCAGACGCATTGGCCTTAAAGTTTCTACATTGCCGCCCCGACGACCGCTACACAGCACTCGTCGTGCTGCTCAAATATGTAATCCCAAAGGAGGCGCAGACCGTGGTGTTTGCTGGCACACAGCATCATGTTGAACTGATTTCATTTATACTCGGAGAAGCTGGCATCTCCAACACATCCGTCTACTCCAGCCTGGACCCAGCGGCGCGTAAAATAAACACCGCCAAATTTGTGAACAAAAAGGTGTCGGTGCTGATAGTTACTGATGTAGCGGCACGCGGTATCGACATACCGAGCCTGGACTATGTGGTTAACCTTCACTTTCCGGGAAAACCGAAGCTCTTTGTGCACCGTGTGGGACGATGTGCCAGAGCAGGACGTACTGGAACCGCGTATTCCATATTCTCCACCGATGACACTGCCCATTTGCTAGACCTGCACTTGTTCCTCAATAGGCCCTTCAATATCCACGATAGCTCCACCATGGGCACCATTCCACAGGACTTGCTGGAGGAGGAGCACCTGACTGTAAACGAAATAAAGAAGAGCCACCACATAGTAAGTCGCTACACGAGTGATTCTGGTGTCACTTTATTCATGTTTCTCTCGTTCTTAGGCCGGAGTGTTGCGCACCAGCGAGAATGCATACAAGAAGTACTTGAGCTCCCGTCCAGTGGCCTCCACAGATGCGAACGCACGCGTCAAGAAGATTAAATTTTACGCACTCAAGCCCCTGGAGGATTTCTTCACTGCGGCTCCCGTCCTCGCCCAAGCCGCTGAAGTCAATGGGCAGTCGAGTGAGTCTCGCGAAGAGGTGGCTGCTACTGAGCGCAAGCTGCAGGAGGAGAAGCACGACATATTAGTCAAAATGCGCAACTTTAGGCCGTGTGGAGTAAGATACTCTTAACTTCTCTTTAAAATCTTTATTTATTTGCTTCAATTATTCATTACAGACCGTTTTTGAGCTGAATTGTACACAGAAGTCAACTCAATTCGTTGTGATGAAGACAAAGCGCTCGGAGCACGCGGAAGTCATCAAAAAGTTTCGACAGCAACGTGCTGACGAGGATATTGACGAGGCTCAAAGGGACGCTGAAATACAGGAGCCGAGTACAGCCAAAATGGCCACCGCCGACGAAGAGGCCATAAGTAGTACATTCAATAAGGTTGTAGCCCCAAAGAGACGACTGCATTGCGATGACTTGTACAAGGAAAAGCCAAAGAGGAAAAAGCGCAGTGCCAACACCAAGGACGCCGAGCATTACGTGCCCTATCAGTCGGCGGACAAGCACACCGAAGATGGGTTGGCCATCAACACGTTCGAGCGACAAGCACAGAATGCCGAGTTCTCGGTCATAGATCGCAACTCTTCGCAAGACACAAAACAGAGGCCAGGGCTAAAGAAATGGGACCGCATCAAGAAGAAAATGGTTTCCGTGCAGGATGTACGGGCCAACAAAATTCGCACAGAATCTGGCGCTTGGATTCCTGCCTCCTTCAAGACGGGCCGCTACAGCGATTGGAAGGAAAAGTCCAAGATTGAGGAACAGGTGCAGCGCGAAACCGCCGGCACCGAAGACGACAACCGCAAGCCACTGAGCCATGCCCAGCGCTACCCCGTCAGCCGACATGCGCGCCACAATGCGAAGTTGGAGCTGAAAAAGCGAATGGGTGGCCCTGACAAGGAGCTACGTCGGCCCGAGCAAATCGTCAAGTCCCGCATGCGCCTGGAGTTCATCAAGAAGCGCAACGAAGACAACGCAGAGCGAAAAGTGGAGAACCGCAAACGCAGCATGAGAAAGAATCAAAGACCAAGAGCTCAAGCAACTGGTGGTGGTAAAGGTGGTGGAGGTAGAGGTGGAGGTGGTGGTAGAGGTGGCGGTAAAGGTGGTGGTGGCGGCGGAAGAAAGCGGAAGTAGGGATGCCTTCAATTTTCGGTGAGTAATATTCTTACAAATTCGTAACTTATCTCTGGTAGGTCTAAGCCAAGAACATGAACATAAATCCACCTTTTTTTTTCTATATGCTCCACAGAGATCCTCAACGATGGTGCCTGAAGGAAAGATTCTACCTAATCCCCACTATTAGGATAAAGAAATTAAAATATGTTATTCATAATATTAAAAAGTGTCTTTAAAATGTGGATAACACGACATATAAGTTCGGTTCGGGTGGCAATGAAGATGCTATAGCTGGGATAGGCATAGCCTGACATCGTTTGTGGCATATGGATGATTCATATTGAATATGCAACTATAAATTGGCCCATAAGTTAAAATTAAAAAGGATCTACAAGGAGAATTTACAAAGCGGTACTATTTTCCGTCGTTCAACTGTTTAAATAGAGCGGGGAGTAAAGTTGTGTTTTCCTCGGTATTTTTACGATATACTTTGAAAATAAGGCGGTATATTGGTAAATCAGCCATGGACTTGCTCACGTTGGTATATTTATTTACATATGGACTTAGAGTTTTTTTTTTTCTCTCTCTTTATATTTACAATCTGTTTTTAAACAATAAGTAAATTGTATAATTAATATTCAATTAACAGAAATAGCAGTTTTCCAATGAGCCCTGCTATTATATATAACATCTTTTTAGTTTGTTAAATTTATCTATCAGGGATATCGAGAATGTGGTATCTTTTCAGTCTTCTTACTGTTAGGCTATTGTCTAATAGACTTAAGGCTAAATTATTTTCGTGGTTGTGGAGTCTGTCGATGTATTTCTTACTAGTTTTCTTTATTTCTTCTTTAATGGTTGGAATATTCAGATCTTTGTGGATGTTTGCATTAGATACGTAAAACGGAGCATTGACAATTTGTCGCAAAGTTTTTGATTGGTAACGCTGAAAAATTTCCTTAAATCTGAAAATTAGATGACATTCCCAGTTAAATTGTATTGTAAACTAGTCAAGCAAACTAAAGTTTTAGTTCTGAGAGTCTTAACCAGCAGATAATGTTAAATGTTTAAGTAAAAGGGTGCCAAGTGGGTTAAATTCCGGGTTTCACACGGTCACACTGCCTACGAAGTTTGACAGCCGAGGCCCGTTCCGCGTTCCACGTCACGAACCGTCATCGAGAAAGTAGCCGCTGTCTTGTGTTTGATTTGCCTCTTCAGAATTGAATTGCTCCCGAAAGAAATAACAATTATCCAAGTAAGTTAGTTTATGGCGTAAAACAACGCTCCGCCAATAATGCACAGTGTGTGTGTGGTTAGCGTTTATGTGATAAAACAGCGCAAAAACATTTAGAGCTGCTGCCCTTTGGGGCTTCCCATTCCAGTGGCTGCCCTTCCACGTCAACAAAAAAGTGAAACGTTGAACAATTTTCTCTCTCTCTTGCAGCATGCTGAAACAAACCCTAGTCCTGTGCGCGCTCTTTGCAGTGTTTAGCGTTTGCCTGTCCGAGGACGAGACACGTGCCCGCCTCCTGGTGTCCAAGCAGATTCTGAATAAATACCTGGTGGAGAAGAGCGATCTGCTGGTGCGTTACACCATCTTTAATGTCGGCAATGGAGCCGCTACCAACGTCCAGCTGGTGGACAATGGCTTCCATCCCGAGGCATTCGAGGTGGTTGGAGGTCAGCCCACAGCCACCGTGGAGAGGATTGCCCCCCAGACCAACTTCACCCATGTCGTGGTGGTGCGCCCCAAGGCCTTTGGCTACTTCAACTTCACAGCCGCCGAGGTGTCCTACAAGCCCGTCGAGGAGGCTGAGGCGGTAAGTCACTGTTTTTTTTTTGTCTCCTACTCGGTCTAAGGATTCATGTGCTTTCAGCTCCAACTGGCCATCAGCTCGGAGCCCGGTGAGGGTGGCATTGTCAACCTGAGCGAGTACAACAAGCGCTTCTCCTCCCACTTCTTCGACTGGGTGGCCTTCGCCGTCATGACCCTGCCTTCCCTGGCCATTCCCCTGGGCCTGTGGCACCAGTCCAAGAGCAAATACGAGCGCGCTGGCAAGGCCAAGAAGCACTAAGCCCGGAGGCTAGTCTCTCGTATTTGAACAGCATGTTAAGAGATTTATTTGAACGCCCATTACAATTCCGTACTATACTGTTGCTTTAACCTCCAATCGATTCCACTTCCATGCGCTCATTCATCCATTCATCCATGTGACATATTGTACAGCTCCCGCTTGGAATTGTAAGTGGGTGGCAGGGGTGTTAAATCGTTTTAGATTTGATTCAAAGTCGCATTGAAAGGAACAAGAATAAAAGTAGACCATCAAGAGTTAAGCTATTTTCGTGTCACTAGACTGGTTTTCTAAATAAAAATAAATCAAATTTATATTACACTTTGCTTATTGACTAGAAGCGGAGACTTGACAGCCTCACGATAACAAATACTTTCGCCCAAAGATCTCCGACTTCTTCTCGAACATGGGCGACTTGATGGGCGTGTTGATCTTGTAGAAGGCGTTCATGGAGTGCTTAATGTACGTTTCGTACATCTCGTTGAAGAAGCTCTTGATGCCCTCGTCGTTCTTGTTGTCGTGCACTATGATGAAGCGGATCTGGCTGGCGGTGATGAAGGCGGAGACGAACCACTGATTGAAGCGGTCGATTGACTTTAGCTGCATGTTGGCCGTTTTCCACTTGTGCTCGTCCACCAGGTCCAAGGCAGCGTGCGCAATGAACTGACTCAGGTGTCTCTGGTCCTCTTTCTGCAAGGAAGATTTCGTTTTAGAAGCATGTCACCATCATTCTGTGGCTCAGTTGTACCCTGAATTCCTTGTTGACAGTGCTAAACTCCTTCTCATAGATGGGATTATCATTGTGGCCAACAATAACAAAGTAGTAGGTGGACATACTGGCCTCAATTTGCTTTAATTTAATTTATTTTCTTGGCAACAATAATAATAAAGAGAATCAAGCGCTAGTGCTTTTTGATTGGCACTAGTGCGTGGCGAAATACCAAAAAAAGAGTGCTTGAAAATACAACGTTTTGCAACACTTTTTATTCGCGCCTTTTTCCTACAGCACATTCCTCGTTTTTATGCTAAAAATGCAATTAAATTGGTTAAAAGTGACTAGAATAAATGACTTAAAGAACTGCCTCGTCATAGCCATCATCCTGCCGTCATAAGGCGGGTCTGAAGAGTGTGCCCAAAATCATTGTGAGTGCGGTGCGGAAGTGTGTGTGCGTGTGAAAGTGCTAAGAAATCGTTTGGTCGCAAGGTACACCATTCATTATTATTGTATTTTAGTATGCTTTGCCCCATTGTTTGTTGCGAGTTTATAAGTTTGGCTTCTGTACTTTACCCGCTTACATACACCCAGACACCCACACAGACACCCCCACACGCACACACTCCAACATAGTCATGTATTAAACTCTCCAGCGAAACAAATCAAGAAAATGACTGATGTAAATTGTCTTACAAGTGAGCACATTGCAACAACAACAACGAGTACAGCGACAGCGGCAGCGGAAGCAGCCCAAACCACGAGTCCGCCCAGAACTCCAACCAGAAATGGACTGGAACAACTGGCGCTAGAGCCCACGTCCCCATTCGTGCTGCGAGCACCGCCCAGTGCCAAATCGAAGCTCATCCTGCAGAACATGGAGGAAGTCCTCTACTCGGTGAAGCAGAAGCATCGCGAGAAGCACAAGCGGAAGCGCGAGGAGAAGCGCCGTGCCGCCCTGCTGGCAGAAGCAGAGGAGAGACCGCTCGAAACGGGGTCCAAGCCCCAGCCGCTGCGGGAGAAGGCTGCCCAGGAGAACGGCCTGAAGAATGGCAAGCGAAAGTCGAGTCCCCTCAAGTGCAGCACCCCCGTGGCCGAGCACCACAGCATACTGAAGCACTTTCCCAAAGCTGGGCGACCCGAAAATAGGGCCACAGCACCGCTAGCCAAGGCCAAGAGTGCCACCAATGTGTTCGAGTTCATGATGAATGCCAGAAACCGATCCATAGGCGTCAACGATGGCGGCAAGGATGCCTGCGAGTTGCCTGCCGATCAGGCAGAGGCTGCAGCTCCTGGCACACCCACGTCCAAGCGCAAGCAACTGCTCCAGGAGTGGAACGAACGCAAGGGAGGAGCCAAGCGGCGACTCCAAGAAGAAGCGAGGGAGGATTACATCGATCAGCAAATGGACCAGCGGGCCAAGAGGTGAGCATTCAGATTTACTCGGTGGGCTATAGAAAAAGATTATTACATTTGAAATGTTTCCGCAGATTGAAGAAAATGCTGACAAAGACTGAGCCAAAGGAGCCGCAGGAGCCGCCACCAGCCGCATCATCTGCGCCTACAGTTCCTGTAAAACGAGGACGGGGTAGGCCACGCACACGCCGCTTAAGTTCAGTGGATGTGGCTGTGGTCCCTATTGTTCCAACAGAGGACACTGATACGGCGGAATTCCTAGCGAAGCTCTCGTCTCCCACCAAGAAGCGCGACAGCCTCTTGGGCTACTTTCCCAAAGTGGAGTCGCCCAGAAAGCCGTCGGTGACGATAGAAACCCCACCGCTGGAGACACCAAAGCGACGACCGCTGCGTAGGAAAACCATTGTGGAGGCGACACCCGTCGATGTGGAATGTACGGGGACACCCCCGGGTCGCCCGCGTCGCTCTTGTGCGGGAAAGGCGCGCTACGACTACGACCTGGAGACGAGTCCAACGAAGGCAAAGGCAAGCGAGGCAGGTGCCGCAGCAAAGAAGAGCCAAAAAGCCGAGGACTTGTCCATTGAGATCATTGATCTGGACAACAGTAACCCGGTGAGCACACCAAAGAAGCTGGCGCCGCTCTTTGTCAGGCAGCTGCCCAAGCCCAGTCCGGACCCCTCTGTCCTCAAGGCCCGCCAGGCGTTCCTGCAGTCGGGCGTGCCCGAGAAGATCAGGCAGGAGCAGAGCCGCCAGAAGAACTTCGAGCAGTACTACGAGGAGAGCTACGAAGTATTCCCGAGCATAGCCCACGTGGGCTGTGAGAGCTACGAAACTATACGGGAAGGGTCTCCTATGCTGCTTCCATCGTTTCCACTGAGGAAAGACGAGGGCGAGGAGGTGTCTCTGCCATCCAACAAGAGGCGCTCCAAGGCTGCAAGTGGCTACACCAGTTGCCAGGCATCCGACTGGCATCAGGCCTACAACAATGGCACGAAGAAGGCGGCGTACACGACTCTGCCGCAGCTGGACAACAAGCGGGCCTTTGTGAAGCTCTGGAAGAACAAGTTCGAGCGATTTCCCACCTTCAAGTGCTACAACCAAATGAGGGAGAAATACCGACACTTCAGCGCGATCGACTCCGCGCAGGACACGCAGCAGATGGGCGAATCGTTTGTGGTCACTCGACGCACGCTGCGCAAGATGGAGCAGTTCGATCACGGCAGCACGGAGGAGGCCAAGCCTCCGCTCTCGGCCCCGAACGGCGAGGTGCTCTTCACCGAGAAGTACAAGCCGCTGCTGTTCGAGCAGGTCCTGGTCAATCTGACGCCGGTGCAGGATCTGCGGGAGTTCCTCTCCGGCTGGAATGGCAACGGCGGCCGCAGCTCACAGACCTTCGACGACACCTCCTTTGACTTTGGCAACGACTCCAGCTCGGTGGGTGCCGCCAGCAACACGATGGTCCTGGTGGGCCCTTCCTCGAGCGGGAAGACCAACGCTGTCATCGCCCTGGCCAACGACATGAACTTCAACGTGCTGGAGATCAATGCGGGGATGAAGCGTACGGGCAAGAAGCTCATCCAGGAGCTGCAGGAGGCCACGCAGTCGCATCAGATACGCAAGGACAGCAAGACGGGGGGCGGATCCTCGCAACAGCTGCTGCAGAAGCTCCAGAAGAGCGGCCTCAAGGCCAAGAAGCAGCAGCAGCTGCAGCAGGGCGAGCCAGCAGGCGTGGAGGCTGTGCGCAAGTCCCTGATACTTATCGAAGATGCGGATATTTTGTTCGACAACATGGACGCGGGCTTCACGGATGCCATATACACGCTGGCGGCCAGCTCGAAGCGGCCCGTGGTGGTGGTGGCCTCCGACCCGAACTGCGCGCACTTGCAGCGGCTGATGCAGCAGAACCAGATCCACTTCCAGGCCCCCAATGCCATGAACATCTCCAGGTTCCTGGCCGTGCTGGCTCTCATGGAGAACTGCCCCATCGAGCTGGACGAGCTGATATCCCTGTACCTGTACAACCAGCAGAACCTGCGCAAGACCCTCATGGAGCTGCAGTTCTACATCCAGAGTGGCGGCGACCTCAAGGGCCAGGCTGCTGCCGCCAGCCAGCAGTCGCTGAGGCAGTCTCCCAGCAAATCCGCCACCCGCCTGGCCACTGTGGATGGCTGCCACATACACCAGCGGCTGTTCGAGTTCTTCACCTGCTGCCAGAATGTGCAGCATAGGATTCCCTTTCCCGTGGACTTTCGTCTGCTGCGCCTGAATCTCTCCGATCTGATGGCCGGCTCTCCTCTGCTGACGAATCAGCAGGCACCTGCCGCCACTAGGGCCAATGCCAAGCGGAAGTCCCGCTCCCCCAAGAAGGCCTGGCTGAGCAGTGCCACCAGCCAGCAGCGGAAGAGCGAGGAGCCCTCTCCGATCGCCACTGTGGCTGCCTTCTACGACAACCTCTCGCAGGCCGCTGCGATGGACGCCAACCAAGACTGCGGCGATCGCCTGCAGGTGTACCTGTCGGAGGATATCTCCCATACGCTGGTGGAGCAGGCTCTCTTCACTGGCCTATCGGCCAAGGAGTGTGCCTACAACCTGTTCGACAAGCCAGCACAAAGGTGAGTGTCCGCAAATATAAACCAAATCGAATTCAGGAACATTTATGTCTTCCCCAGGGTGACTATCGGTGAGCACTTTGGCATTGGCCAGTTGCGGTCTGCCTCCTCCAAGGCGCTCGACTACGAGCCCGTGCTGCGCTCCATTTGTCGCAGCGAGAAGGAGCGCGTGGGGCAGGAGCGCAAGTCGAGTCGCTTCTATCACTATCTCCGCAATCACACGGTGAACGTGACGACCTTCGCCATGGACTCGTTCGACTCTGCGTGCAGCGTGTTCCAAGAGGAGGTGGCAGGTGCGATGGCTGCACCCCCAGCGGGTGACGATTCAATAGTCTAGTATAATTTTTCGTTAAATCTGCGGCCGATGAGTAATTGCAATTTATTTGATCGAGGTAAGCAGAGTTCTTAGATCCTCTTAGGCTTAGATTATGGATGGGATGAGTGTCGTATCCTAGCTTAAAGTTATTAACCCTAATGTACACTATTTAAATAAATCAATTATATGACTTTTAGCCACTCTAGTACGTCGCCACTGATCCACTAGCAGCAGCAGAGGAATCCCGAACCAGAGCTCTTCTTCATGGGCTCCGCATCGACCGTTGGTGCTGGACTGCTAACCCTCTTCTGCTTATCCTGGTCCGACGTTGGCTGGACTTGAATGGGCGCCGTCGTAGTCGTTCGAAGTTCACCAATTTTGAAGTTCTTCAATTCGTTCTCGGCATCCGACGAGTGTCCGGCCTGTCGAAAGGCCTTGCTGGCATCTTTTCCTCCGTACTCGAGCAGCAGATCCCCCCCGCCTGGGTGCTCGCTAAGGAAATTGGTCACATCGTAGACGTTGCCCTTGATGATGATCCAGCAGGGTTTCCCCTTCTTGCCAGAGTTCTCGGCCACCTCCGACAGTTCGTACAGCTGTGCCATAATTGAATTCAGTAATTGATGGAGTTCCCGATCGATCAAACTTGTTTTATGGCTGCTGTTAATTGAACCAGCGTCAGATAGCGATAAGATTTATCTTCTTTCCGCGAATGACATCTGAATTGGAGCTCTTGTGAGAGACACTCGGATACGTTGTGCACAGTTGAACGGACTCTCGCTCAATGTACGCGTGCCAGGTTCTTCCTTTGCTTATGTTAAACATTCATTCACTTATCAACAGTGCGAAATCGGTTCTTTGAGTGGTTGCACCTTCTACTATGGATGTTTGGCAACGAACTCAATGAGTTTGCAATTCCATTTGTATCGCTCGCCTGATAAGAAGTACGTGAGAATTTCACGTCCCCCAAAGTCTGTGGCTGTCTAATAGTTACTAACTTACTTAGTTACATAATTACTCTATGTCTTTGTATGACCCAATCCCAGGGTTAATGCAAATTGACTGAGCATGCTGGCGTGTGGTGGTCCTCCGTCCAACTGCCAGAGCGATGAATCGGATCGGTGTTGTGTTCCATCTGCTGTTCCATGGATGATTCATGTATCTACTATTAGGAAGCTTTTTTGGGTGATAAGATTATGTGATTGTGGTGCGACAGTCACACAGACAATGGGATAATGGGAAAGTCCTAATTTGTTTGCAGTTCACTTCGCTTATCAGTCAGTTTTATGGCATGTAGGAGTTTGTTGCCTGCGAGTAGAGCGTTCAGCTTTTGAGAAGGTGTATTTTCAATATGAATTCCGTATATACTAGCAGTGGTCAGGCTGCAATTTGACCTCGCTGAGCTTTTGCGTTGAAGCAACTCAAATTGTCAGACTGCAATTTGAATTTCTACGATATATATATATTAATAGTAATGTTAATATTATTATTAGTAATACCAACCCCCCCCCCCCCCCCCCCCCCACATATGTAAAACAAAAAAAAGCTTGTTTTTTGTGTAATTTTTTGGCTTTCAAAGTTTATATTCTATATATATTTTGGAAATATATTTAAATTTGCTTTCGTTTTGGTTTCCCTTTCAGTTTCTGGTTTGGTTTTGGTTTTGGTTTTGGTTTTTCTTTTATATGAGACAACAACAATAATTGGTATTCATTTAATATATATGTATTTAGATATATATATATATAGATTTATGTATCTGTGACGATTTGCTTAATGCGCATTAAAAAATTTCGCTAGTGTTGAGTGCAAATTTGCTGCGTGGTGGATCCGATCGGATCGTAATTCCGATTCGATTTTTGGATTGCTGGAAGGATGTGGATGCGGGATGTGGTGGATCATGTGGAAGGGGGGGGGGGGGGGGGGGGGGGGGGGGGGGGGGGGGGGTTGGTGGGTGGTTAGTGTGTGATTACATTAACATAATGCGCTCCGAGGACTCGCGCGATTCCTCCTGCATTTTCAGTGCTCAGTGTCCAGTGTCAGTGTATTTACAAATGAGTTTCTTTGCTTTCGTAATTCGTTATTTAATGTTATACTTTTTGTTATAAATATCAGTCGACGGCTTCGCATTTTCAAAACGCAGCTCGTGTGCGTTTCCGTTTGTATTCTCGATTTTCGATCTACCAGATATCAGAGTTAATAAATGTCTATATCGTATCCGCATATCCGCATATCGTTTATCATATAAAATGTAAAATTAATTACTTGTCAATGATTGTTGATTTGTTGTTTGAATTAATTAATCGATCTGTTTTGAATTTTAAAAAACGCAATTCAATCAATTGATTTAGTTATTAAGTGTTCAATTCATCCATTTGATTTACTTATTTAGTTCTCGTTTAGTTTAGTGCAACTAAACACAATTCTTTCGTATAATTCATAGACTCGATCCTCGGTTCGAATTTAATTGTTTAATTTAAAAAACAGTTTTGGAGGTAGTTGAAATTAGGCCTGTTTACGTAAATTATATTTAGTTATACATATTTAAATATCATATACTATGTATTTATGTATGTGTGTATGTCTGTATACTAGATGTATGTATGTATGTATATGCGTGTATATGTATGTATTTATGTAGCTGATTCACAGCGATTTCGTTTCGATTTCGCATCGACATTTAAGCTGGACCTGCTCTGCTCTGCTCTTCTCTTCTCTTCCCTCTTCTTTATTATTTATGAATTAGTTATTAATTAGTAAATTAATGTCTACACATTGTTTAGTTATTCATTGTCTGCTGTTTTCCGTGTTCTGTGTTTGGTTTCGTTTCGTTTTGCAATACTTTTGGGCTATTTTTTGTATTTTCTTTCCCATTAATACTTTGATCCATAGACATCAAGATTTATCGTAAAAGTGTAGGCTTGTAGGACTTTTCGGCTTAGTAATGTTTTATGTTTTCTTCTCCCTTCTCATATTTTCCTAGTTTTTCCACTCGCTTTTCATCTAAATTTTCGGTTAAATGTTTGTTTTTAATTTAATTAAATGGATCGAAAGTTCTTGAAACCATTTTCTTTCTATAATATTTAGCGGATCGTTTGGAAATTGCCATTAATTTTATGCATATATGCGATGCGTATGTACATTGGATTTACTGTGCATATTTGGGGAATTATTCAATTCGAATGTGTTTGAAATAACCGCCAAGTGATCATGGCCCTCTGCCAGTGCTGCCACTCTGTTCGCTTCACTGACTACCACTGCTAGCTGACAAAAGATCAGACGGCTAATCGGAAAATGGGGAAATATCTACATTTGCATGATAAATACATGTGTGGAATTGTATTTTTGTAATTGCGATTGCTTCTCTCTCTCTTGCAACGCTTCTCTAAAGCCATAGTTTGAACAAATTACAAAGAAAGGCATGATTTTGCTAGGCACATTTACGTGACTAGTTCCAAGAACCAGCAACTGAGTAGTTAGTGGCGCCACTGCTCTAAGGATGGACTTTCCAGCAAAACGAAGACTGATCCTTATCGATAACTGATCGATCTTTCAAATTTCAAAAGCACAATCTCCTATTTTCTAAATAAGAAAAAACCAAAAACCAAACAAAAGAAGTAAACAAAATGAAAACAATAATTTCACTACAATTTGGTTTACATAGATTTCATTTCATTTTTCTCATATTTGTTGTTTACATTGTAATTCCGTTAGCAAATATACAAATTTCAATTGAACTAAAAATTGTTGTGTGTGTGTTTTCATTTCGTGTGTTCCAGCACATGGGCCACGCATATTCATAATTAAATAGGGTATGGGAGGAGGGTGCAGGGATCAGGATGGGTCTGGATAGAGTAAATTAAGAGTTGGTTGGCTTCTCACTAAAAACTAGAGTTATTCAAACTAAAGTGTATTACCATATTGATCATAAAATTACAATTACATATTTTCACTTATATAATTTGTTTGTTATTATTTTCTCTCCTCTCTGCTCTTCTCTCTATTGTGGGGTATGTGGCATGGTTTGTGTCTCTTTCAAGTTTCTTTTTCATTTAGCGGCGACAAATGGAAATGATTTTAAAATAACTAATAATTAAGTTTATGGTTTGTCTGTGTTCAGTTTATGTTTCCGTTTCTGCGAGTGATGCATAGCGGCAGCGCAGCGGATTCTCTACTTGTCTATCTCTGGTCGCATCTCTCCTGCTCCTTCTCCTGCTCCTTCCATTCCTCCTCCTTCTTCTCCTTCTACTTCGCTATCGAAATTTACAAATTAAATTCTGACTAATAAACAGTCTTTTCGTACCAGCGCAACGTTGGCGACAGACCTACACAAAATAAATCTGATCCGTTTAAACTTTAACATAATAATAAGCTAACATAAAAAAAATATATATTCCATATTATGCATATTCCATATGTAGTACAATTAATTGTTAATAATTAATAATAATGTGTCTACAGCTGAGTGTGTGTGCAGCTATACTCGTATCTTGTGTTATTATCATTTATATTTATATATTATTTATAGATTTAATATTGTGTAACTAAGAATTAACTTAACACGAGCTCAGTTATGAGTTGGCCCCACAGTGGCTGCAATTCCTGCTATTGCAGCTGCAATGGCAGCTCATCATGCTAGAGTTGGAATTATTGCGGCTCATTGTGGCGGGGAGGAGGGACTCGACCAAACCGACTCCCTCTGCCACTGCTCCTGCTGCTGCTGCTGCTGCTGCCTCGACGGGCAGAGGAAGATTGAAGCTGCTGCTCTTTAGAAGCTGCAGCCCCGACCCGATAGGCACGCAGACGGAGAGCGGCGGCGTGGGTATCCTTTCGGGTGTGCAGCTCCCCGTGCCTGTCGCTGCGGGCGTGCCCGCGTAGATGTGGTGACTGCTGGCAGCTGCTGGCCCTGTCCCCGCACTCGGATTCGTGCCGTAGCCGCAGGCCGTGCTCTTCAGCGTGGCCGCATTGGAGATGGGCAGCGTGGGCAGCGGAGCAGCGGCCAGCGAGGAGGCGGACGATGAGGTGGACACACAGGACGAGGAGGCCAGCGAGGAGGCCGAGGACGACATCGAGGCGGAGGAGGCTAGTGATGGGGGCTGGCTCGCGCAGCTGCCCCCCGCCGGCGGTGACTTTGGAGAACTGATGCGTGAGAAGAACTTTGTTATGGCGTTCGGCTTGGACTTGGTGGAGGCCGAGGACGAGGAGGCGGTGTATGTGGACGAGCCGCTGATGATGCCCCCCGTGGCGGCAGCCTGCAGCGTGGTCAGGCGATAGCTGGAGCTGCCACAGCCTGCCGAAATTTGCTCGGGCACATCCCTCACGGTCTTGTTGGGCGGCGGCTTGGTGTACGATCTGGTGATCTCCGATTGCTGTTAGTGAAAAACATGAAAGCATGAGCCAATGTCTTAGTTTCTATTGCTGCATGAAGCACTCACCTGGTAGCTACTTCTGATCTGCAGATGACGATCCTGCCCGTACTCGCTGTCCGGCAGTGGTACATGGTGGGGACAGCGCGGCGTCTGCTGCTGCTGCTGATATTGGTAATGTTGATGGTGGTCATTGCTGTGGCTCTGCAGCGAGGAGCCACACGAAGACATTGAGGATGAGCTCTCGCCTTTGGTGCTTCCACTGCCACTGCCATTCCCGCTCCCGCTCCCACTCCCACTCCCACTCCCCGTGTTGCCATACTTGAGTGTGGTGGCCTCGATGCCGCCTCGTGCCACATTACTACTAATACTATTGTTGTTGTTGCTGTTGTTGTTGAGCCCTGTACTGCCACTGCCACTGCCACTGTGGGTGCTTCCTCCTCCGCTGGAGCTGTGCGTCGTCGCTGGAGTTGTCATACGTTGCTGATGCTGATGGTGGGAATGTTGTTGCTTATTATTGTGATGATGAAGATGGAGTGATGATTGCTGCTGCTGCTGCTGCTGATTGCTACGAATCACAGAATCGCCACGTACAGCCAAGAGCTCACGTGCCTGGTGCGCATCTACGCGCATTCTACATCTAAACTGATCCCTGCAGAGAGAGGGAAAATCAATGGATTAGCCTTGGCACTTTCTCCGAGTTATCTCTGGGACCTACCTATCGTCGGGTGGTGTGCTCAATGATGTGCGGGTCGGAACGCCGAGCCGCTCCATTCCCGCGCAGCCGGCCGTCTGTACCGATAGCATCTGCAAAAGAAGCAAAAGAGAGACTCGCATTAGGACAAACTCGACACCAAGGGGTAAGGTAAATATAGACCTAAAATTGGAATAATCTAATATTACACTCAATATTCTGCATCCTGGCAGCTATGCACTTCGGCCACCGTCAGATAGCGGTCCAGCATCACCCAGCGCTTTGCCACCAAACGATTGCCAAAGCACTCCGCCATCTCCCCCTCGGGTCGCTCGCTCACAAACAGCTTGATGATGATCTCCATCTGTTTCAAGTCGAAGCCCTGACCCTTGAGGGGGCGGAAGATGAAGCTACCACCGTAGAAAAGGTTCTCGCGGAGCACAAAGGGGCTCTCGACGAAGAGAGCGGTCTGCAGCCAGAGCGAATCGTGGCTCTTGTTGAAACAGGGATTGCAGCTGAACCTGCGTTTACGATGGCATCGGCTGAACGTCACATCAAAGTACAGCGTAAAACACTCCAAGTACCCATCCTGGATGACCTTCAGGCGAATCTCCCGATCAACGTGGAGATCCTCCTTGGTGGCGCTCATCAAATCGAGCTTCAGCACGCGATGGGCAAGGGTGAGGACGCGTTCGCATTTGGTCTCGGCGAACCGAAACTCGGAGAGGGCATACTGACGCATGGCGCTCATGTTGAAGCCGTACAAGTGATACCACCAGTTGGAGAGAGCCTTCAGCCCGGGCTCCGCGCTTCCCAGCAGATAGAGATCCCCCAAATCGGGCAGGATGAAGCCATCGCTCTTCAGCCAGCGATCACGCGCCTCCAGCACCTCGAGGATCTCCGAGTCCCAGAGCAGCGACTGGCCCATCCAGTTGCACACAATCCCGTCCACTTGCTCGGGCAGTTGCAGCTCGGCCACGCGACCATGCAGCACCTTCACGGTGCTCTCGTAATGGTTCTGCTTCACCACCAGCTCCGCATAGTTGGTCACCATCGAGCGATCCACCGCATACACGCGCTTCGCCTCGCCGTAGCGGGCGGCCATCAGCGCCAGGGTGCCCACTCCGCAAGACAGCACGAGGATGACGCGCCCCTTGAACAGGTGCGCGTTCTCCCTGATGACCTTCTCGAAGTAGTACACGTACTCCTGGTCCTTCAGCCGCATGCGCATGTTCTGCAGATGGGCGGCGTAGTCGTGCCGAAAGTCCGCCGACGTCATGCGATCCACCTGCTGCAGCTCCTTCGGCACACAACGCGCTGGCGTTGTTAACGGAGCATTGGCTGGCTCCGGGGTCTTTAAAATTTGAATTTTCTGCTCCCTGCGTGCCTCTGCCACTCGTTGTGCCCAGGGTATTGGAACCTCGCGGCGTCCAGATTCCTTTGCCTTTGCTAAGACAATCCATTTGTTTTTGAAGACTATATCGGTGGCGACACCTTGCTTTTGGTTCCACTCTGTTCTCTGGCGGCTTGTGTTGCCGTCTGAGAGTTCCAGTATTGGGTGTTCCGGTGGTACTGGAAAAAACTGGGATATTTCGCTGCCAATGTACTCCTTGCACTTGGACATGGCTTCCGGCGGCACGTATGGCTCTATGCGTCCCCAATTATTTGATGCCCGCTGAGATGCGCTGTTGTAAATGTTCCGATTGCCACCTGCCAGGGTACCTGCCTGTGGTCTCTCACTAGAAGGTTCCGGTGGAAGCTCGGATATTCCGCGGTAGATTTCGTGGTAGCAGTCGTTCTTCAACTCGTTCCCATACATTTCGGGTGCTGCTTCCCGCTCCCAGGTATTTGGTGGCTGGTTCTGTTTCCAGTCTGGTCTCTGGCGGCTTGTTTTGCCGTCTGAGAGTTCCAGTATTGGGTGTTCCGGTGGTACTGGAAAAAACTGGGATATTTCGCTGCCAATGTACTCCTTGCACTTGGACATGGCTTCCGGCGGCACGTATGGCTCTATGCGTCCCCAATTATTTGATGCCCGCTGAGATGCGCTGTTGTAAATGTTCCGATTGCCACCTGCCAGGGTACCTGCCAGTGGTCTCTGTCTAGAAGGTTCCGGTGGAAGCTCGGATATTCCGCGGTAGATTTCGTGGTAGCAGTCGTTCTTCAACTCGTTCCCATACATTCCGGGTGCTGCTTCCCGCTCCCAGGTATTTGGTGGCTGGTTCTGTTTCCACTCTGGTCTCTGGCGGCTTGTTTTGCCGTCTGAGAGTTCCAGTATTGGGTGTTCCGGTGGTACTGGNCGTCCCCAATTATTTGATGCCCGCTGAGATGCGCTGTTGTAAATGTTCCGATTGCCACCTGCCAGGGTACCTGCCAGTGGTCTCTGTCTAGAAGGTTCCGGTGGAAGCTCGGATATTCCGCGGTAGATTTCGTGGTAGCAGTCGTTCTTCAACTCGTTCCCATACATTCCGGGTGCTGCTTCCCGCTCCCAGGTATTTGGTGGCTGGTTCTGTTTCCACTCTGGTCTCTGGCGGCTTGTGTTGCCGTCTGAGAGTTCCAGTATTGGGTGTTCCGGTGGTACTGGAAAAAACTGGGATATTTCGCTGCCGATGTACTCCTTGCACATGGACATGGGGGCTTCCGGCGGTACGTATGGCTTGCTGTGTCTCCAGTTATTTGGGGGCCACTGAGATGCGCTGTTGTAAATGTTCCGATTGCCACCTGCCAGTGCACCTGCCTGTGGTCTCTGTCTAGAAGGTTCCGTTGTCAGCTCGGAAATTCCCCGGTAGATGTCGTTGTCCAACTCGTTCCCATACATTCCAGGTGCTGCTTCCCGCTCCCAGGTGCTTGGTGTCATGGGGGCGGCCGATTTAGGTGCTGCTTCCAGTGCAGAGTGTTTTGTTTGCACCTCGGATAGTTCATTATGGTTTCTCGAAAGTTCTGATGGCACATGCCATGTATTGCGTTGTTTTAATTTTGATGCCGCCTGGAATGCTGTTCTAGGGACATTCTCGTTGTCGCGTTTATTGGGTACATTTGGGTGTTCCCGATTCGCGGGGTTTGCTGGCCCCTGGGTAGCCTTTGATACCTCACCAGTCTTCTTTCTGGCCCCGTTGGCATTATTTTCTACATTTTTCGTAACTTTGTTATTGCTAGGCATTGCGGTTAATGTTGAAACTAAAATAGATGAAACGAAGCTTAAGGATCCGCGCGCGTTCTGATCTCGCTTTTAGTGAAATACGGCTTGTCCTCAAAAATATACCGAAATATACCCTCTCATTTTTAAAGTATACCGTACATCTGAAATCATATTTCTCAATTTTAATGTTCTATTTAATATTATCAGTTAGATAGGTTTCTTATCGCTAAGGCCATAATTTTATCCGATTTATTAATCGATTTTTCACTAGATTGGCTAGTCTTCATGAGTTCCTTTTATTGAGAGAGAGAGAGAGAGAAACTACCCCCGCCGACTTGCACCACCTTTTGCTATTTTCGATTATAGGCAATATCGATTTGATTGCAGTTGCAGTGTGCCCAAACCACAACTTTGATCAATTGCTCTCAAGTTCCCGCGCTCAGGAGTCGCGCGTGAGTCTCGTGTTAAAGTTAGCTTAAAATCGTTGTAAAAGTAGTTTTTAGACTATAAACTAGTGTTTATTGTGTTTATAAAATTGCTGTGCAGTGTTTGCCAATTTATGTAGGGTTTTCCGTTCGGTTTCAGTTCATTTTGCTAATGTGCGGCACTCTTTACATTTTGGCGCGTATCTTGAGCTGCCGCTTTCTACATTTCCATACTACATCCGAAGGCACCGTTATATTCGCAAGAGTGTGTGCGTGAAGTGCCTATTTGAAAATCGTCATTCTCATAACTCAACATGTTCTACATTCCGTTACCTGCCCCAGCCGACGCACCCCACGGGCCGATTGATGTGTGCAAGCGGGCATGAAAGAAAAAACATGTCAAATCTCTGCAGAAACAACGGAAAATAATCGGGCACGAATACATATTTTCGGCAACGGTCGCTGCGGCGGTGGCCGAAAAGACTTTGTAAATTATACAAATATGCAAATGCAATTTTGTAAATTAAAATCTCGTGAAACTACCTACATATGCGACTATAGAAATATGTATGTATGTTTATGCACATATATAAGTGTGAGTGAGTAAGTAAGCTCTTTTCTTTTTTCCTTGTAGCATTAATACCCTGCAGGTGCCGGGTGTTTTTATTATAGTCAATTGATCTTATTTTATAGCTGTCAGGGAAGAAATGATTCTGCAAGGGTATCAAAGCTTCGGTCCCAGAGCATTGCCTTTCTCTTTCGATTTTTATTGTGTCTGTTTTTTGGGTAATCTGAGCAGCAAATATCGCATCACATTGTCTGGCGCATCTCCCGTCTCCCACTCTCTCTGCCCCTCCCTCGCTCTCTGACGGCAAAAAATTAGGTTAAAATGTTTACTCGAGCATTGCAGACAGGATTGGCAATAACCTCATTTTTAGCTGTGTCTCTCTTTCCCCCCTCTGACGTAAGAGACATTTTTGCTTTCTGTTGTCGGTGTTGTTGTTGTTGGGCGTAAGCCAGGCCATAACCGGCTCTCTCTGCATCTGTTGTTTATCTTTTTGGGTCTAACGAAAAGTGACATAATATCAGAGGCAGACAGACCCTTGCGTGGGTCCCTTGTTCCTGACCGTATCCTTTAAACTTTTCGACTTTCAATATTTGTTTAGGCCACAAAAATGTGCCACTACTCAACAGAGGATGGAATGAGTGCAAGTGTAACAAACAGCTGTTGCTACACGTACAACATATGTACATTGTATGTGTGTACGCCTGTATGTTTATCTCGCCTACTCTCACGCTCTCTGCAATTGTAATTGTAATTTATGCAAGTCTCTGCGTGTCTGGTGCATGCGTCTGGCATAGATAACGGTTTTAATGAAAGTCCCGCTCTCACACGTCCACGCCCAGCTCCCGGCATAATATTAACGCCTACAACGTGTGTAATTGCTCGAGTGTGTGCGTGCGAGTGTGTGTATGGCTCATGCGAGCACATTTTAATAATCAATTTGAATTATTCATTGGCTAACGGCGGCAAATAAAATTCGATTAAAACACAAAGCCTGGCTGCCCCTGCCACTGCCTCTGCCACTAAACGCCTTGGGTTATTAGAGGCAATTGTGTTTCCCATTGCGTTGGCACCAGCAAGAAGAGAAGCCAAGCCGCAAGAGCAATGGCGCCCACGCAATGTCTCCACCATTTCCCCGCACCATCCTTCGTCCCACCTTCTTCATCTATGCTGCTAAATGGCTTTGCCGACAGTCGGAGCTGGTGAACGTGAGCAGGAGCCCGGGATAGGAGAGAAGAGAACACTCTTAGCAGTGTTGGAAGGCATTCATGTATTATATTCCAATACAGTGGAGACACCTGTCATGTGTTTGGGAGTGCACTTATGGAGAATTCCTGCACAAGTTTACTTCCATATGGGGGCCTTACTGTACAGACGCCGTGTTTCATTCATAATGTTGATTTGGCGTGGGCAAATTAAACCAAAAGCAAAAAACAAATCTAGAAGCGTAGAAAAATGAGCAAATGCGCACTGGAAGATGTCAGCAGACCGAGTAACAATTTGTCAAAAGTTGCCGACTTTAATCTTTTGTAATGGGCGTGCTGGCACCTGCCCGCCCCTCACCGCAGCACCCTCACCACTGTACCGTACCCATAGTAATGGCAAATCTTAAAACCACAATCTCCAAAGCCGCCTAAGCGTCTTTGGCCACGCCGTCGGGCTATGGTTTTGGCTTTGGCTTGGGCTTGGGGTCCTCCCTAATGAGCGCAAGCCGAGAGAATCCACAAAATCCACACGTGTGGGTGCCCGCATAGAAGCCACAAGAAGCGTTTGCGGAACGCAGAAAGTGTCGTGCGGTACGGTGGTTCCGTTTTCCATTAAGGCAAATCCCGCCTCAAGGCCAGAACCAGCGCCAGAACCAGCGCCAGAGCCAGCTCAAAGTGCAAATTCAATAATCAAATTCCAAGATAACTAAGAGTGGGCCACGCCACCATTTAAAGTCAGCCAAGTCGCTGATGGAGAAATTGAATTTGTCTTGGCCATTAGTATAATAAAGACGCAAAAAAATGGCAGACAGCAATGGTTTTGTTCTTCTTTTTGGGGGAGTGATACAAATTGAATGCCAAACGAGAGACAGAGTGATAAAGTGATAGAGAGAGAGAGGGAGAGGGGCCAACTTAAGGCAGACACTAAAGGACGTGCTGTGCATTCAACAAACATTGCATAACACACACAGCAGACGGTATACGAAACGAAAAGGGAAAAGAAGAAGGAGAGGAAGCAGAAGCCGAAGCCGAAGCAGACGCAAAAGCAGTAGAAGAAGTATAAACTGTGAAGGGAGATGCGACAGAGCAGTAGGCGCAGTTACATAAGAACTCGGCTCGGGCTGCTGCGTGGGCGACGGCGAAAGCAATTTAAGCATGTCTGCTGCGCTGCCCTGCCCTGCCCTGCCCTCCCCTCATGTCTATCCACTCCGCTGCCTACTGTGTAGCCTCAAGGACTTTTGCCCACCGCTGGAAAATTACTGCATTGGCAGAGTGAGTGATGGGCTGTGCTCTCGCTTTGAACCTCTTCCTGTTCCCTCTTCGCTGCGTCTGTCTGTCTGTTTGGTCGGTCACAAAAGGGAATGCATGGCAGGGATATTGGCAGGCAAAGACGACGAAGAAGGCAAAGGCAAAAGCCAGCACACAAAAAGAGAAAACTTTCGACACGTGTCGCTTTTTGGTATTCGCTTTGTGGTGACACTGGGAGAAATTATTGTAGTCATTCATTTAAAGTCTCATTGGGTTCGTTTTCTCTTCCTTACGTTTATATGACCTTTGACCGATTTAGGCCCTTTCGTATTTGTACAAGCCCTACTTTTTCTGGCCGTGCAGTCTAGAGCTGACTCTACACAGAGAGGACCAATCCCATGCGTTTCTCCCCCGTTTCCAACTGTTTCAGAACTTTTCCTTGTTTTCTTTCTGCTTTTTTTCTTCTTTCTTCTTTCCAAGGGGGCTTGGTTGGTAGGTGCGTGGCAAGTACTTACGGGTACAGAATGTTCCGGCTCGGTTGGCAAAAGTGTTGTTGTTGCTGCTGCTGTTGTCTCTGCTGCTGCTGCTGCTGCGGCGCCTGCTACTGTCTGATCCGCTGCCGCGGAGCCCGATGTGATGTAGGAGGAGGCGGTGCAGCTGGAGGTGGTGGCGGCGGAGACGGAGGCGAGTGGTAGGGCCAGAGCAGAGATAGCCTCGTTACCCGTTACCAGTCCAATCCCCGTTGACAGCACCGCGTTGTTGTTGCTGCGCCGTCGTTGCGACGAGCGACGTTTGTGCCGTATCCTGCGCGTCGCTGCTGCTGCTGCTGCTGCTGCTGCTGCTGCTCTTGTTGTTGCTGGGGCAGAGCGTAGGGCAATCGCGGCCACCAACACACTGCCACAGGCTAAGCACACGGATAAACTAATGGCGATTAGCAACAAGCTACCTGAAAGACATAAAGAAATGTACTATTAGAGTTGGTTTTATGTTTTTAAAGAAAATCCAATCAAAATAATCCAATTATATTTCATCTAAATCTGATTAATGAATCGTATTATCAGACAGCTATAATGAGGTGAGAAAGATACATAGAAAGATCCACAGTATTTTACTTTAATAACCTTTTTCCTTGTAAGTAAATTGAAGAAAGTCGCGCAAATACTCGTATTCCGTTTATTTATTAAAATAACATGTCTTTTTGGTCCATTGAAATAATTTTAACCACTCACGCACTGCTTTAATTACTATAAATAAACGAAACAAAACGTCAAGCGAGTGCGGCCCACAGCACAGCCAAAACAACAATGAAAAGGGGAAAGAGTTGAAGAAAAATAGACAACACAACAGCAACAACGAAAGCAAAAACAAAAGTAAAGCAAAGTAAAGTAAAGTACATACGACTGTCGCTATCTACAAGGTGCGCTGCGCTGCGCTCTCTGTGGCGTAGAAAGACCCCGGTACCGTTTGCCATACCCGTACCCGTACCCGTACCCGTACCCGTGCTTACCCATAGAGATATAGACGGACGGACAGGGGACACGGATACAAAACAGACGTATGCGTCTAGACTAGATAGCAGACGACTTAAGTGTGATACAAGCACACATGCGCACAATCATAGCGGTAGTCGGTCGAAACAGAGAGAGAGAGAGGGAGAAACTGACAGGCGAGCGTGTGAGTGAGCGCGCGAATGTAGGCGGTCAGCAATTCGATATACAAATATGCGAAAAGAAGGCTATCGATGGAACGGAATGGGATTGACACAGGTAGTACCCTGTAACACCGAAACAGTGAGAAGAGAGATGGTGACTGAATTTGAACTGCTTGAACTGAATGCATGTCTTGTGGAAATACTGAATGCAGGATATCAATGTCACGCAATGGCGTACCTGCACAGCTTTAACTGCTTAGTTACGCTTTCTATCTGGAAGATAAATGTGTCTAGACACATATGACAATCGTAATGTTATATTTAGAAGCCCCAAAACAGATCCCAGCCATTATAGTGCACAAACTGGGGGGTTATTTTTATAACCTTTTGTATTACAAAGTACCATTGTAGCCAAAACGCTTCAATTAGCAATGGGTATTATGGGCGATATGGCAACAACATTCCAACCGACACAACAAGACGGACAGACGAACGGACGGACGGACGAACGGACGGACGGAGACCCAGACAGCGCTGATAGAACGGCAGACAAACAGAGGCCACCCGTCGCGGTCGCAGACCCTGTAACAGAGCAAACATAGACGACGACAGCACACTGGCACAGCCACAGAGAGATACATTTTGTGCGAGATACACAGATACACAGATACAAAGGCAGCGATGGCTTGCGCAACAAGATTTTACAACCACACAACACAAGCAGTAAATATCATGACGCTCTGTCTGATATTCGTTTGGTTGCAACAACAGCAATACGTTCAACGTTCAACGTTCGGTGGAACAGCGCAATTTCATCAAGGCAAAAATGACGCAGCTATGTAAACGTTGCCATCTCCCTCGCACCCACTCGGCCATGGCGTGGGTTATCTCCCTGTCTCACGCTCTTTCTGTGACGATCAGTGAATGAAAATGAAAATATTCCACAGAAGACAGGGGAATGGTTGGTTGGAGATTTTTCAGTAATTTATGATTTTAATGAAAAGAGAAAAGCTGCGCATAAAAACAATGAAACCGAAGCCTTTGATACCCTTGGCAGGATAGGAAGTCGGATTTGGTGATCTTCTTTCTGGTCTATGGCGCACTTGTGATCGGTATGGGGGATATTGTTTGGGTCAGTGACAAACATCATGATACCCTGCACACCCCGCAAAGAGTATGAGACCAGAGAGACATGAACAAATGATACAGCAATCACACAAGGCACACAATGCCAGGCAGACGACAAAAAAAGTGAATCAACTGAAATTAAAATGTACATCGCACGAAAAAAATAACAGAAACAAACAGAAAATAAACAAGCAACAAAGTGAAAAATATGTCAACAATGTCTATGACTGACTCTCCGACTCTCTGGCTCTCACTCTGACTGTACTCCCCGTGTGGTGTGGTGTGTGGTGTGTGTGCACTGCTTGCAGAAAGACCGACGACGAAAAAGCACAAGTGGCAGCACTTTAGACTTTTGCGCATTCCCAGCCCAGCCCAGCCCCCGTTCCGTTTCGTCCCCTCCCGTTCGTCTGTCACTCAGGTTTAACCGTCTCAGGTGACTCAACCATCAACCATCAACCATCAGACTGTAGCTGTTGCTGTTGCTGTAGCCTATCCTACGGTCGGGTCGAGTCGCCATTCGCCAGTCGAGTCGCCAGTCACTCGCTCGAGGGCTGCCTTTTATAGCCTTTGTTTTTAGATAATTATATATTTTGTTTCTGTTGCTGTGTCTGCTGTTGTTGGGGCCACCCTGTAATCTGAGTCGGAGTCAGAGTCGGAGCAAAGCTAATGGCTATGGACAGAACCACACTTCAAGGTGCGATAACATCCATAAAAGCGAAAGATGGGGAAAGGAAAGTCATTTATTGTCTCATTTGCTCATGGAATTAGGCCAGATGACATTTATTATATTTCAAACACTCTCAAATAAAGATTATACTCTTTAAAGTGCTAAAGATATTCGCTTACGATGTACAGGGTATTCCTACAACTGATCATTCGAAATATATGATATTTTTTTAATTGCTGCCGCTGGTTGCAATTAATTTTATCGCAAGTGAAATGATTGAGCACGTCGGGGGCCACGTTTACGTCTGGGACTACTAATCACCTGATACCCTAGAAAATAAAGAAAGACCGAGACCGAGACCGAGACCGAGACCCAACCCAGACCCATGAAAGAGAAAGGAATACCTGGCAACGGTTCAAAAGCTGTTTAAATATTCGATTGAACCGCTGACGCACGTGTTCGTCTCCCCTCTCCGTTGCGACTATTGAAAAGTGCTAAAATAATTGTGTGAATTTCAATTTCAATATTTGAATTGATCGCACCAGACNCTAGTCCCAGACGGGCGTCAGACCCCCCATACCAACCAGACAGGAGGGGGGAGAGGGCAAGACGGACGGAGCAGCCAGACGGATCGGATCGGTTCGGTTCGGATCGGACAGTTGGCTAACACTTTCAGCGATCCATATCGACCGATCCACCAACCGACCGCAAGCAAACGGCTTTCGTGGCTATTTTTAATAGTGGAACGGACATTGAACGGTAGACAGTAGTGGAGCGAGCTGACAAAGTTGCGGGGGAAACTTGTTTCGCTCTCTCTCTCTATCTCTCTCGGAAGTTCCTTGACCGAATATATCGGGTATAAAGCGGTAGGAGGTAGATAGGCAGAGATAATGCCCCTAAAGGTACATACATATAATCGAGAGCAATTTCCCCCAAATTGCATTTGATTGAGCTTGAGAGAAGAGGATGATGGTGATCCACCTTTTGGCCTTGCCTTCTTTCTTTCTCTGGCACAATAAAAGTTATTAATTCAATGATTATGATCGTTGCGCTAATGACAGTCAAGTGCAGTACTTGCCCCATCCTCATCCCATCCCCATTGCCAAAAATCCAAACAGCAGCCTCGCTTAGAGGGGGCAATGGCATTGACACCCTGATTGGATGTCAAGGTTGTGTGTGGATTGTGTGGATTGTGGAGACTGGACACTCGGGAGAATGCCTTTTCCTCAGCACTCAGCACAACTAAAGGCATTATCCGACCACATATATGCGAGATAAAGAGGGGGGAGAGCAATAGCTTGAGCTTCTGCTTCAGCTTCAGCTTCAGATTCAGCTTTAACAATCATAATACATTGTGATGACATTGAACTTGAAAAACCACAAAGATCAGAGATATCAATTTGTGCGCTTTGTTGTTTTGTTGTTTTTGTTGTGAACGATTTATTTGCTATGTTTTTTGGTAAGCAGTTTATGTAGATGTAGAAGATGAAACGGTGCCTGTAACAAGCAGTGCATACCAGTAGAATCATGCAAATCAAGCAGTGCACAAAGCATCTGTCAAGGGAAGCAGTAGACAGGCAGCTGCAATCATCATCATCATCATCAGCTGACGTCAGTCGCAAGCATCGTCTACGTCGCTGGTTTGTTTTTGTTTTTGGTTTTTCTTTTCAGCAAGAATTTTTGACTAGTTTTCAGTGCACAAAATATTACAATGTTGTCTCTCTCGGATGAAAAGTCGGCAGTCCCCTGTGGCTGCTCCCTGCCTTACCCTCTCGCTCCTTTAACCCACCCCCTTCAGAGAGGGGCCAACCCTTTTTTCTGTCGTGTGTGTCGTGTGTTTGCGGCACTAGACATTGCGCACAGCAACATACAGAAAGAGAGCGAGAGAGAGAGAGGGAGTCAATGGGAGAGAGGTGGGGAATGGGGAATGCAAATGAATGAACAAAATGCAAAATGCAAAAAACAACTGAAACAAACCGCAGGCAGCGACGTCGACCTCGCCCATTCCCAGGCAGCGGCCGCCTGATGATGATGTGGCTTCTGCTCTTGTCTCTCCCCCCTCTAGCCAGCACACTGGTAGCTCTGCTGCTGCTGCTGCTCGTGTTTGCCGCCTGTCGTTTGACCTTTAAGCGATGCGAGTGCATTCCAACAACAAGAACAACAACAGCAAAAACAGCAGGCAGACGAAACACCGAGAGAAATTCCCATTTTCAGGTTGTTCAGATTTTTGTTGCCCTGCCCTTTTTGGGGAGAGGAGCGTCTCCTATTTCTGCTCATTTCCCAATTTGCAAACGCATTTAATAAGTGTGGAAAATCACGTGGCTAATTGTGTAAACGCTGGCGTATGCGCAATATTTAATTCATTCAAGCGATTACGTATACGCAGCGCTGTTAGCATTTTCTATGCGATGTTTGTCGCGGTATTTCATCATCCTTTTAAGGTTCAGCGACTTGCTTGAGGGTGCCAAGGGGTTCCACTGGGTTCTTGGGGGAAGTACCC